TATATATATATATACACACTGCGGGTTATTGTGTATTTGTGTTTGTTGTGTGTCCATCCGCGCTTGTGCAAAATCTCCAAACGTCACAGTTCATAATCAGGACAAGCGCGTTGAGAAATCCCAGGTCTTTCCAGGGATTCCCTCTGCCCTGCCCTCCTCTTCTTCAGCATCCCCACCCCAAGGAGGCAGGTCTGGGGCTTTCGCAAACCACTACTGCAGAGAGAGAGAGAGGCACACAAATCTGCTGCAGTTTTTCTTTTCCTTTCACTCTCAGTCCTCTTAGGCGAACAGTCCCGAGCGCAGGGTTTCGTTCCATTTCTCCCGCATCCACACTGCAGCCCGGTACAAGTCCTTCCCAGGTTTCAGACTGCCCGATCTACCACTAGACCTTCTGCGGACCGGCTGGCTCCGGCTCGCCCTGGGTGGTGGGTGGTGCTCGCACCGCCCCCACCTTCCCCTGGGGCCGTGGAGAACCGCGCGCTGGGCTTGCGTGTGTGTGCGCGCGCACGGGTTTCGTGGGGGAAATCTTCTCTGGAAGCTGCTGAGTCGCTGGCGGAGAGTATCCTGAAGCCCACCAAAAACCTCCAAAGCACTAGAGCATCCCTAAAGAAAAACAGAGTAAAAGAAAAACAAGAAGGGAAAGCCTTTTCCCGAAGGCCCGGTTTTCCAAGTCTCGGATCCTCCCAGAGCTGAGTAAAGGCGCAGTTGGCAGCAACCGCTGCTGGAACCAGTGGACTTAGAAACGGTTTTTCCCCCTTTCGGGAGGAGGGAGTGAGGGACTTGCAGGCAAGAGTTGCACCTGGTTTAGGAACCTGCAGAGAGAACTCTGGGGTAAGTAGTGTTCTGGCACTAGAGCAGAAAGGGGGAAGGAGTGGGAGGGGGCAATAGAGGGATGAAAGGGAGAGGGCAGGGAATGAATTATGCAGAAAAAAAAAATCCCCAATATTCCGCAGCGGAGGGAGAGCACAGCACAGCACTCCCAGGATGAGTCCCGCCTGGGTTTCCTGCGCGGAACAAGCAGGCGGGCGCGAAGTTCTTTTTAAGGAGAGGAGAAACTCAAAGATCCTGGAGGGTAACAGAGGCAGCCGGGCGGGGCGGATCGCAGAGGCGGCCGCCAGGGGCTGGGGCCGAGGCAGTGGCCAGAGCCTCAAGCTCTGACGCCCAGCCTTCTCCTCCTCCTTATGGCCGGGTTAAACCTCACTTCCCCACCTTGGACTTCTGCCTCCGCCCCCGGTTGCCCGGAGGCCCAGCTGACGTTGGGACTACAGGCGGCTGTGAGAACGCTCACCTGGCCGAGCCTCCTTCTCCTCCTCCTCCTCTTCCTCCTCCGCCTCCCGCCCCCACCTGCCCTCCTCCTCCTCCACCTCCTCCTCCTCCTCTCTGAATCGGGAAGCGTGGGGATCCGTAGGCGAGGAAATAACGACCCCTGCAGTTGCATTGCGGAAAATCTCAGCGGCGGCGCTAGTTGCGGGCGATGGAAGCGAGGCAACTGGGGGTTCTGGGGAGCCCAGGAAAATAGCAAAGGAGCAGAAAGCGCGCGCGCGACGTAGGGAGCCAGTGGGTCCCCCCAACGCGCCCCGGTTTTCTGCGCCCAGCGGTTTCACTCGGGGTTCTGGACACGCGGCCCCAACCCGGCTTGGAGGCGGCAGGCTGCGCGCGGACTTGGGGAGCAGGGAGGGTCGGCGGAGGCTGCCGGCGGCCGGCGGTTTCTGGCAATAATCCCTGCCTCTCTTTCTCTGTCTGTCTGTTTGCTGTGTCTGCTCCTCCTCCCACCCCCGGAAGCAGGAGGAGAACGTCCCTGAGCAGAGAAGCCACCCTCTGACCATGCCCCGGTGAGGGGCGCGGACTTCGAGGGCAACTTGTCGCGGACTGCCTGGGTTTAGCCAGAGAGCTAAGAGCTGCCGGGAGCCCGGAACTGCACGGCGCGGCCCGGCGGGGGGCTATCGTCTATGTCTTCTTGGGGCGCCTGGCGGATCGGGGTCTCGTTTTTGCAGGAAGAGCCCAGCGCTGGTGGCTTCAGGTGGCTGCCGCCGCCGCTGCTAGTGCTGTTTCCACCACTGGTGCGAGGAGCAGAGACGCGCGAGTGGGGAGACCTCCGAGACAGCGAGGCATCGGACATGTGTCAGCACATCTGGGGCGCACATCCGTCGAGCCTGAGGGGAGATTTGCTGGAACAATTCAAACTGCGATATTGATCTTGGGGGTGACTGTCCCTGGCCGGCTGTCGGGTGGGAGTGCGAGTGTGCGCTCGCTCGGGAGTGTGTGTGTGTGTATGTGTGCCGTGTCGGGCACCCCCTTCCCCCCCTGTTTTCCCGTCGAGTGATGCACTTGGAATGAGAATCAGAGGATGGAAATAGTCTGGGAGGTGCTTTTTCTTCTTCAAGCCAATTTCATCGTCTGCATATCAGGTACGGGACGTGTTGGAGTCACGGGGCGGGTTTGGTTGATATTGTGGTGTTTGGAATGTATGGGATTTTATTGTGTGTAGACATAAGGCGGGAAGGGAGGGGTGATACAGACCCATTCCTTTCTGTGGGTTTGCTGTTTTCAGAATCAAAACCCTCCAAGCCCAAAGGGTGTGTGTGTGTGTGTGTGTGTGTGTGTGTGTGTGTGTGTGTGTTTGTTTGGTGAGGGTTGGATCTGTGTGGAGTCCCTGGAAGGGAAAGAAGGAGAAAGAGGTGGGGGTTTAAAAAGAAGAGGCAGATGGGTGTTGATTTTCAACTGCTTTTCTGGCTGAGAACTCTGGCGCCGAAATCTGAGCCTTGGCAACCCCCACCCCCATCCCCTGGCTTTCAAAGTTCCCAAACTCGGTGATTCCTGTCTGGCAAAATGGACGAACAGCCCTGCCCTGATGTTTAGACACTTTCAAGGGGCTGCGGGAGGATGCGGGACTGGGGAATGTCATCAGGGACCCAAGAGATCCTCCATGCCTTCCCTAAATATGGAAGGATGGGGGTGTTTGAAACCTGGTGGCACGCCCCCCTCCACCACAAATAAAAGAAAAACCCTTCTGAAACATTATCACCAATACCACTTTAGACCATGATCTTCCTTAATTCCCAGTAGCGAAGATGTGCTCGCTCAGACACTGATTTCAGGCTACTTGTGCCAGCCTGTGATTTGAGAAGCAGATGAGAACCCAGGGTGTTGAGGCAAATGAGGTAGGGCTTGTGTGTGGCTGCCCCTGAGTGTCCTGTGTTGGGAGGGATTCTGATTTCTGAGCAGTGTCTTTGTTGGTGCAGGAAACTGAGGATGGGAGGGAACCAGTGAGGAAAAGCCCCAGGACCAACAGTATTCCCCAGTTCAGTGGCTCCTCCCATTGGCCAGCACCCACTCCATTTCCCTTCACACCTGCTGTTTAAGCACCCAGAGTGAAGCCCATTTGCTGTGCTCCTTTCTGCCTGCATTCCCTCTGCAGAATTGGGGACTGAGCCAACTTCCCATGAAGTCACCAAAAGGGAGCAGGAACCTTGCCCCTGTGAGCAAACCCATTAAAGCAGCATTGGGGATGGAGAGACATGTTTCCTGTTTCTTCCTTTAGCCCTTCCAGTCTCATCCCCTAAGCCAGACCTGATTCTGAATATTAAAAACCCTCGTTCCACCCTTACCTGGACCTAGTTCCAATTACCATTCTTTAATTTCAGTTGTCTCCTCATAAGGCAGGAGTTGGGAATCAGTTATTTGAAATTAGTGTTTGGGGCTTACCCATCCTACTAAGAAATATTTTATAATATTCCTCTGTAATACTGTAGTGAGTTATGTTGTATATTGTACAGACAAGAAAAAGTACCTGGGATCACCCAAATTTCTCTAGTGGGTACACTTTTATTCTATAATGCATCCATGAGTAAAATTCCCAAGATGACTATAAAGGTTTATATCAATCATATGTCCAAGGATGGACAGGGTGACATCTCAAAAGGCCGCATTTTACTTCTTTTTCTTCTTCGTGTCTTTTGCAAACTCTTTCTCTTGTTCTAGAATATTTTTAACTAGTAATTAAATAGGCTTTGCCTACCCCCTTGTCTAGCATCATAAAAAATAGGCTTTGCCTACCCCCTTGTCTAGCATCATAAATAAGTTTCCAATTAGACAAGCCATCTGAGTCCCTTAAAGATTCACAAAAGGGGAACATTCACTGAGGCTCTAGATTTCCCCTAGCATCTTCTTCTTCCCCAGCCCTTGCCCTAAATTTTGCCAGGCAATGCCATAGGGGAACAAGTTGAGGAATCTGTGCTTAGCCTCCCAAAGAAGTCTTGGTGGGATACCTGTCATAGCTGTGTTTGATTTGGTGTATCAGCAACTAAATTATTCCAATGGGAACATTAGGAGGGGTTATTTCTAACCCAGGAGTAGAGCTACCAACCCTGTGGCTTTCCGCATGTATTTACTAAATAATCATCATTGCTGTGTAATGAGAGGATAAAAGTATAAGCAAAATTGCTAGCTATTAGCTAAACACAGAAAACTAGGTTAGCACTCCAAATGCCTAGTTAAGATCTGCATTAATTTGCACTTTATGAAGACATGTACTCTGTATTTATACATCCATAAACTTAACTTCAAAAGGTCATTCTTTCTCCATGGTCAAAGTGATCTCCTCCTCCAGTAAGCAAAACTACCCATGGAGTGATGCCTGTGTATGTCTGAATTATGATTAGTGATATAATCATGATTCACAATTGCCACAGTTTGGGGACTTGGTCTCCTTTCTTCTCCTATCTGACAGCATTAGGATATATAGGAATGCAAAGCACTAAGGTTGAATAATTATGCCTCAGGGAGAGTTTAGTGGGTCTTTCATTTCTGTTTCTATGATTTGCAGTTTTAATTTGCTCACGACTGAGCTTTACTAAAAGGAACATAACCCTGTGATCATAGGCTCTACTA